CGACCGGAAGCTACTGGAAACTTCCACGGACAGGCCCACACAGAGTCCAGCAGCAGCAACCTCTCCCATATACGGAGATGTGTATAAGAGACAGGGCCCACACAGAGTCCAGCAGCAGCAACCTCTCCCATATACGGAGGCGGCTGGCCAGAGCTGGACATTCTGGCCAATGCTGGCATTGTGGACATGCTTCTGCGCTAGCAAGCGAGTGTCTCAATGCGCTAGCTTGGGCTGGGGCGCGGGTGCGGGCGCTGCAGGGGCAGCAGGGCGTGTGCAGCCATAGCCGGGCTGCAGGGCACAAGGCAGAGGAGGGCGACAGGAGGTCTTCGGGAGGAAGCACAGAGCTGGGTGACAGGGGTTGATGATGGGAGATGAGGATACGTACCTGGTGTATGTGGCAGGTCGGCATTGGTGTTGACGACATGTACATTGGTCTTCAAAGTCGAAGTGAGCCTGTTGTATGAATGTAGATAGGCGAGATAGGCAAGTAGGGTGGGCTGGGCGCTGGGGGCCATACAGAGAGGAGCGGCATTGAATACTGCGTTGGTGTGGCCTGAGGGCTTAAACATTGGCTCGAGAATTCATTGTATTGCTCTTATTTGGATGGAATATTGGTGCATTTGAGGTCTCTGCTTGTACATTACTATTTGGACTTCTGTGTGATTTTGCAATTTGGTTTTCTGTATGTTTCTCTCGCTCATATTCGTTGCTGTAGTATGTATATTAAAGTAAAACGCATTTAGGGTAAAGCGGAGTTGCAGTCCTGTAGGCTCTGTGCCCAATGTCTGTTTTTTGTTCACCATTCGAGAAAAAAAGCATTTAGGGTAGAGTGGAGTTGCTTTCCTGTACCCGATGTCCTTGCAGACCCGGAATCTTAGAGGAGGGAATAATTGGGAAGTCTTGGCTGGCCTCACAGGAGCGCTGGGGAATGTTCGGGGAAGCCTCTATAAGTTATGTTTGCTTGAATCTCTCCCGATAGTCCCAACCTTTTTTTTGTTTTTAGCATTTTTTAGTAAGTTTTACTGAATGTATCAATAAGGGCCTGTGGTCTGGCTTTAAGATATCTGTGGTTTGGGAGCCTTACACTTTTGACTGCGGAATTGTCTGTGTTGATTATTTTGTCAGGATACTCTGCAGCGGAGATGCATTGTGATGTTCGAGTTGTCTTGTAACATGGAGCGCGTTCTCGAGTTTCTGACGCTGGAATTACCACACGTGTTCCTTTGCGGATCGGAAATGAACCTGACACGTCTATGTGAGCTTCTCATCTTTGTGTTGAAGCACACGGCAACGGGGCCAGGGGCCCTACTGTTCGACAGGTAGGCGTAATATCTGCAATGGTGATGGATAGAATTCAATGGGTTTAACTGTTTAACATCTAAACCCAAAAACAAATGTGTTACATCAGTCTGCGTTGCTCGCTTGGAGGCCCTCAGGGTGATCCCTTTTCCTCGTTCCCTCAGGTCTCTACTTATGTCCTATACCAGGTGTGTCTTGTGTGTGGACTGCTGAACACCGACCTTGAGGTGATTCCAGTGATGCGATTGGACACTGATTGTAATTGACGCTTCTGAATTGGCCTTTGCTGAGATGTTACATGCTGCGCCTGCAACATGCTACGGCTGAAACGAGGGCCATTTTCAGGCCCTGTGTTGTTTTCAGCCTAAAGGCCTGAAAACAAGGGCCTACAGGCCCTGTGTCGTTTCAGCCTAAAACAGGGCCCTCCAGGCCCTGAGTCTTTTCAGCCTGAAACGGAGGGCCATTTTCAGGCCCTCACAAGATCGACCTGCCCTGAAACTTGGGCACCAGAATAGGGTTTTAGCACAGGCCATTTTGGGCCTGTTTTCAAGACAACCTTTGTTTAGGCACCAGACCAGGGTTTTAGCACAGGCCATTTTGGGCCTGTTTTCAAGACCACCTTTATTTGAGCTTCAACGCCAGGGTCTGGCACATTTTGGCATTGGCAAGAGAAGCCTCCTGGACGGGCCAGCACTATATAAGACTGGCCCACCCTGCAGGCTGCAGGGAGTTCATAGGGACCTCCCAGGCACTTCACGTGCAGTTCAGGAGGCAGGAGGTAGTCTTCAGGATTCGGCAGCAGCACTCTGGAGGAGCACTGCAGTAGTAGTAGCGTTAGCAGTAGTCTTCAGCGCTGGGCGCTGTTACGAGCTAGAGTAGTATTGGAGAGAGAGAGTGTTGCATGCACAGATATGCCATGTACGTAATAACCGAGGATCTGCAGTGTGATGAAAAGGACAGAATGGACAAATGCAGTGCGAGTAGAATCTCGACAGACAATGTGCATTCTCATACATACAAAAGGTGCTGAATAGCGCAGGGAAGACTTTGATACAAGGACTGACCTCACTCACGTAGTAACAAGTATGTTTGAACCCAGACCAAACATGCATCATACCCATCGGTGATGGAGTCTGGCGCTGTACACAGGAAGAAGCGCCAGATTCAGACATACACAGACGAAGAGGTAGGGAACAGACGAAAGGAGGGAGAGTGATGGGAATGTCGTTAACACCAAGTCTTGGTCACCAATCCCAAATAATCCCTCGTTGCCTTGTCTGAAGTC